ATTCCAGTAGTGCCACTTCCTAAACATGGCCTTTTCCAGCCTCTGTGCCAGACCCCTCGTAGCTTTGCCTTCCTTTAGGACCCAGCTCCAAATAACATAGTGAAAGAAGCCTGTTGCAGTGGAAAGGGCACTGAACTTGGGCTTGGACTAGAGGACCCCTAAAGTCCTTGTTGTTGTTGTTTCCGTTGTCTGACTTTTTGTGACGCCTTTGGGATTTTCTTGGCAAAGACACTGGAGTGGTTTGCCATTTTCTTTACAGGATCATTTTACAGATGAGGAAACTGAGGCAAACAAGGTTAAGTGACTTACCCAGGGTCAAGCTAGTAAGTGTCAGAGGCCACATTTGAACGCAGGTCTTCCTGACTCCAGGCCACGCACTCTATCCACTGCACCACCTAGCTACCCCTAAAGTCCCTTACAGTTCTAAATCTGTGATCCTTTGATTTCCATGATAACTGTCATCATCATCCTATTTGAGTGATCTCTCTTCCAGATATCTTGCATAGTACTTTGCATCTCTCTCTCCCTCCCCCCCACTCTTTTTTTCTCTCTCTTCTTTTTACATTGGACCTTTCCTTATTATTATTTATATAATTATCTTAACTCCTATACTTTAAGTTCAGTGAAAGTAAGGAATATGACATTGACCTTGGTATGACATATATGACTTTGAACAAAAGTAGTAGGTGCTTAATAAAGGTATGTTTAAAGGTATGTTGAATGAATTATTCTACCTGGAATTGTATTGTGATAGCCCTTGAATCCCTGGCTAAGGAATTTGTGTTTTATGTGGCAGGGAAGGACAGAGGGGAGAATTAAAGTTTTGTTTTGTTTTAAACAAGGAACTAACATGATCAAAGAAGTATTTTCAAAAGATTAGACACTGGGGGCCGAGGTGTTAGCTATGAGACAAATGTAGGAATCCAGCAAATGATATTTGAACTAGAGTGCTTGCAGTCAGAGTGAAAAAGAGGGATAGATGTGAGATGTTATAAAGAATGAATTTGCATGACTTGGTGATTGGTAGAGCCTGGAAGTCAAGACAGTATAGCCTGTCCTTAATAAGCTCCTTCAGAGCTTCACAAAGAGAAGGCACTGAACCTTATAAACTTACACTACTGACATTTTGATTTCTGAAGTAAATGTGTGTCTTTCCAAACATGCTGGGAGAATCAATAGATATATACTCCCCCTTCTATGAGCCTTGCAAGTATTTGCATCTGTCCATATATAGGGAATAGAGAATAATCTATTGCTCAATTATCTTCCTCTTTTTTTCACTGCTTAAATATTTTAATTAAATGCTTTTGATGTTGTGAAAAGAAAAAAAGCAATAAAGGCAAGAATGAAGAAGTGTTCAAGGTTTCAAAATTGAGTAACTGAAAGAGAAATTAGTGTGGGAAGATAGCTTACGGTGAAATGATCCATTTTAGACATATTGAGTTGAATGTTACAGTGATGATGTTGTTTAGAAGACAGTTTGACAAGCAAGGCATTTGGGGGAGGGGTTAGTACCGAAGATACATATAACATTGATGTCAGATCATAGAAGTGACAACTGAGACTAAATTTAAAAAAAAAAAAAGCAAAAGATCAAGGAGAAAACCTTGGGAAACATAGAGTAAGTGGGTAGGCAGGGGGAAGGGAAGCTTCCAAAGGAGGAAGAATAATTCAAGATATAGGAGAAAACCCAGGATTGTGTAAGCACCATGGAAGGCACAAGAAAAAATGTCAAGATAAGGGTGGTTAAGTGTCAAATGATGCAGAGGTCCAAGGGGAAAAAACAAACTGGGAGTGTAGAGGGGAATGGTGCAGATTTGTCAATAATATGCTTGCTTTCCAAAGAACAGCTTCAACAGAACATTTGAAACAAAGGAAGTTTATAAGAGGTTATAGAATATGTGGGTGGTGAGGAACAGAGTTTGGAGATACAGGTTAGGAACTTAAAATTTTAAATAATATAATTATATAGTACTTTAAGGTTCACAAAGATGCAAAGAAACAAACTCTGAAATTGTTCATGTTTAAAACAACAATAAAAAAAACTGTCCATGAGGCAAATGAAATAGTTATCAAGATACAACATGACTTAACATTAAGAAATTACCTTTCAATTCACCTCTTTTCTCAAAGATCCTAACCATTCCTGTCTGCTCAACTGAAAACCCCACATACATGGCCAAATCACCCACAAATAACTTCAGAAATAAATGAATATATAAAGTGACCTTCAGACCTCTGGTCCTTCTGCTTTGTCAGTCATGGTGGCAGAGATATTGAGAGGGGGAAAAGGACTCCCTGGGCCCAAGAGCTACACAAAAAACCTATGAAAATACTGAGGAAACTATGAAAGTTAACTTCCTTGTGCTCTATGGAAGAGATCCTATAACATCATAACAGCACAAGCACTTGGCAGACCATAGGAGTGGTAGTGAAAGTGTATCTATGACAGCATTTCTTTTCCCTTGCTAATTTGTTCTACAGAGGCTGGGGGTGAGCAAGATTCTGTGGTGAAACCAAGATATGTGATTTTTAATCGATCAACAAGGATTTAAGTTGTCTGTTATATGCCACTAGGTGCTGGAATTCTGGCAATGTATTTATTATAACCAGATTTCGTTATATCAAAATAATTTGGAAGGCCCAAAGACTTTGCTATAAAGGAAAAGCTGAATTTTATTAAACATTGCAATGGGTAACAAATATACAGGGTAACATCACCTTTTCCCAAGAATTTTAGAACCGTGTATGCTTTCAATATAGTCCTTTTACACCTGGAGAGATCAAATTAGTTCTAGAACAAAGTTTTCCAGCTACCTCGTAGGTAAACTTTTACTTCCAAAAGTCCTTTCTTCTTAAAACCTAGGAGTCTCCTCCCTTCCACCACAATTCTTCCTGGTTCTCAGTTCCTGTCAATCTGATATCTTTATACCATTGCTCAATAGATTTTGGTTTGGAAAAACAGTATTCTAGAGAATTTTTCCAATCTGCAAGTCTAGTAGACTGGCATCTAGTGATGTCAAATTGCTAAAACTTTTCTATTTCAGAGCTCGCTTGAAGAGCCACATTTATGAATAATTTTTCATTTTTTGCATTTTTACTTACTATATACTTTAACAATTATAATCCAGACCAAATATTTTCTATCAAAACTCTTCCAGAAACTATTTTACTCAACCAATCAATATTTCTGACAAATAAAAGAGAACTCAAATATGTATTAAATTTCAAAGACATTTATTTTCATTGCAAAGTACAACCTCATTGTCATCTTTACATGCTCCACTTATGCAAATTGTCTCTTCAAACAAGAAGCTCAACAACAAATGGTACTTAGGTTTAAAAAAAAAAGCATTTTCTATCTTGGACAAATTCAAATTATCAACTAAAAAGTTTTAAAATCAGTACTTTTGTTGGTTTTTGAGAGAACAGATATGTGGTGGTGTTCATGCCTATAGTTTAGAAGAGAAAGCTAATATCTTTACCAAGGGGGAAAAAAATCAACAAACTGCTCTTCCCCTCCTCTCATAAGGTATTTGAACTCAGGAATAAAGGAACTAGATTTAATTTTTTAAAAAGTTTCACTGCTGGACATGGTTTTAAAAATTCCAAAACATGAGAGGCATCATTTCCCTTAACAATAATGACATATCTGACTAACTTAAAATATGTCTAGAAAAAATTGATTGAAATGCAATTATACTAAATACTAAAGTGAACACAGAAATTCTGAAAATTAAAATGAGTGATGTAAAAGTTGAATCCAGGCCAAATAAGTGTATAAACAAGAAACAGGTCTATTAAACAAATCATTCTTTCTTCATTCATTTTGCATTTAATTTGTTTCTCCATATTTATCTCTGGCTTTCCATCCAAGCAACCTTAGGTGCTAATCTTTTTGATGACAAATGTACTCCCACAAGAGGTCCTAAGAAATCTTCCACAACAGGATTAAAAGGTAAAAAAAGTTACACCTCTCAACCAACTGGCAACCAATTACACACACTCCATCAAAATAAGCCTGATCCAGAGTTTTTGCCATAGGCAAAAGCCTCCTTTTAAAATTAATGCACAGCATTAAGAGAAGGAAAAAGTGTGTTGATAGGAATTAAAATAGGATGCCCCATCACAGCAAGCAATGAGAAGGAAAGGGAAATGGAAAGCCACAAAATGAGAACTTCATTTTCTTGGACGGTTGGAATTGTGCATCTTAGAATGCCCTCTTTACTGCATCTTTACTGTATTGTGGCTAATTGATAAAATCTAAATATTAATAGTTGTATTATAAATTATACTGAGCAGAGAATTGGCCATAATGAAACATTCCACGGGCAGGCATAATGGAGGAAAGGAAAGAGTAGGGACTAGAAGCCATGAGACATGAATTCCAGTATGGCTCTGCCACTAACCAGTTCCTTGACTTTGAGAAATCCCCTGACTTTCCTCTGGCTCTGTCTCCTTACCTACACCACAATAGGGGATGTTTATACTGAGAATATAAACTTTTAAAAGGAAAATAAAATGGCATTATCTAAAAGTTTCATAGATAGGTACAGATAAAGCAATCTAAAACCAACGCTGCTGACTTGAAAAAAAATATAAAAATATGGTTGCAAACAGGAAAAATTTTCTGGCTAAAAATCCCACTGGAAGAATCTATGCTCATAAACTTAGAAAAATGAATTCCTAAGATATTAAGCAAAAATGTACAATAAATTAATGAAGAGCCTGTTTATCTTCACTTTTATGTACACACAGGAAGAAATATGTGTTTAAAAAAATTAAATTCTTTTTCAGTTAGTGGAATCTCATGTACCAAAGAATTATTATGAAAAATAGAATTGCATTTTCACAAATATTAATCATTTCATTCAATCAAAAATACGTCATTGTGCATTATACCAGAAAATAGTACATTGGGAAGCGTGGTTGTGACACAAAAGTTTGGGACTCTTTGGCGAATTTTGTTGTCTGATAGCTATAATTACATGGTTATTCCCAATCACTGCTTAATGGTGCTTTGAGTTGTGGATATAATGCCTTCTTCTTTAATATGCTTCAGTATTGGTCCATAGATCTCCTTTTTAAAGGGCCCAATCAAGCCTTTTGCTTAATTTCATCTGAAAGAAAAAAAAATAAATGTGTAATTAATATTTGGGGAACAAAGGGAAGAACCTATATATATATATATAAAGAAAGCACTCTTCTGCTAAAACTCCAAGTTGATGAACTATTGAATGCCTGATAATTAAAGAGTTGTTTCAATATTGCTCAGTAAATTCCACAGTGGCAAACTAAATACTGGGACCTTCAGGTGACTAATTTCAGGCAATAGGAACTTTGGCTAGACCTATATCTATGTGACTGGGCAGAGCAGTCGTAGGTCAAACAGTCAGCAACTGACAGGATCACTCACTCTCTGATCAATCAAAATTACTCCGTAAGATGATCTATACAGAAAAGGGAACAAGGGAGGGAGGGAAACGAGCATTTTTATTAAGCACCTACTATGTGTTAGGCACTGTGCTAATGACGTAGTCAGCCTGGTTATTTTGAGCACTTTCAGAATGCCCTTCAGTGACTCCATAGCTGGGAGGAAAAACAATCAATTTTACTTTATTTTAGCTAAGCTTAATAACTTCTTTGTTATTCCCGATTACTTCTTTACCAAATTCAGTTAGCAGTCACCTACACAATTAGCATGACCCTGTAGAGTACTTGCTGGTGTGTTGCTTTATAATTCCTTCTAGAGTTTGACATCTGAAGACCTTATGGGGAGATGAGGAACATATCCTCAATTTCTTAGGTATCCAGCTGGAGAATTTGCATAGTATGTGGTCTAGTGGGATGAACACAGAACATAGAGTCAGAAGACCTGTGTTCTGTTCTGATATTACCTAGCTATATATCCACAGGCAAATAACTCAACCTTTTGAAAGCTCAGTTTTCTTATCTATAAAAAAAAACAACAAACCAATCAGATAAATAATAAGCTTATAAAGAAAACACTTTACAAACATTAAAGAATTATATATGTCAGTTATTGTTTTATAGTAGATATTCGATTCATGATTGCTTAACTAATTGAATGATCTTGTATGAGGTAGGGTGAAAAGAGAATGAAATCTTTTGGTTTTTTAAAATATTTTTATTGATATCTTTTGTTTTTACACCACCTACCATATTCTCTTCTCTCCCCTCCAAAATCAAAACAAATGAAAATATGCATTACAACAAAGAATAAAAGGGAGAGGAATGGTTCAGCAAACTAACCAGTATGATGAAAGGAAAGGAAATATTAATGTCTACTGCTATGGTTTTTTAATCACTAACCCCCAGAGTTGGTAAAGCAGGTAACTACTACAAAAGTTATTTAATAGTGTATAATTCTTGGTTCCTCTGAAACTCCTCAACGATTTGAATGTGTAATTTTGGTGTTTTACTTGGGAAATAATGGACAGGTGCCCAGCAAATAAGTAGCAGAAGGTAATTGAAAAAAAGAAAAGAAAAAGAAAAGAAGCATGTCACATCTGATTCAAGCATACAATGAATACTGCTTACCATTCAGGATCATTTTGGCAGCCATGGCTGCTGGCAAACCGACAGTCTTGGCCATGGCTGAAAATCCATCGACCTCACCATATACCACAAGATCAACAGTTTTGTGTTCTAAGTGACCAGAAGGATGCCGTATTCCAAAATTGTTTCTCATTACAATCATATCTCTTTCTCCAGGACCTTAAAAGCAAAAGAAAATCCCATTCAAATCTTCTGTACCTTTCATTTCACAACTTAACTTTGGCATTTTTCTAAGGGATTCAGTGGGTAATTTGCCTTTTGCCCCTTTGGCTTTCCTTATCTTTTAGATACTTTCTACCTCAACAAATATTATAAAAATATAAATTATAAATTATAAAAGTATTTCTCTTTTACCCCAATAAGAAAGCAAAAACTCTCTGAACTGAAAACTAATCTTCCATCCATTTGATTTTATCCAGAGGAGACAATCAGTCCAATGTCAGAACAGCATAGCCACAGATTCAAGTACGCTTTCATTATGTACCCTTTTGGTCGTCTCCCTAACACGTATGTTGAATTAATGATCTTCTGTTTTAAATTCTTATCCCCAACCACAAAATTACTTGTATTTGCTTTATATATTCTTCATATTTATGTATCAGTGTACATATTACGTTTCCCTCTACCTCATTAGTATATAAGCTTAAGGATGTGGAATGCTTCATTTTTAATTTTTTACTCTCAGCACTTAGCATAATGACTGACATTTAACAGGAGCCTAATAAATACTTGTCATTGCTGAATAAATGGAAATTTCAGAGTCAGTGAAACTCTTTTCTAAAAAAAAGTCTCACCCAAGTCAATAATCTTCCCTACAATACCTCTGACAAATACCCATCCATCTCCACTATTGTCCTATATCTCCTCTCCCCTTTGTGGCTAAACTCTTTGAAAAGGCTCTCTACAAGAGGTAAAAGTTATCAGTTCCATATCACAACTTTCCCCATCGCAGTTTTGATATATCACAGGTCAGCATAAGAAATTAAATGGGAATTTGGGGGGAGTTTTGCCAACATGCAAAGGCCAGCAGATGCCATAGAGCCTATGACCAAATACTTAACCCAAATTTTAAAATAAGGTACTGTAAACACCCCATAAAAGAAAAAGAAAAAAATATCAGATTTCTTCTTTGGTACAAAAGGGAGGCCAAAAAATTTTACATGGATTTTCAGTTTTGGGGGGTGCTGCACCCTTAATCCCCCTGATGTGGAAGAGATAACTGTATTTCTCCTTTCTCTCCTCTTACTGACTTCTTAACCCCTTACAATCCAACATCCAATCTCATCATTCCACTGAAACTGCTTTCTCCAAAATTATCAATGATCTCTTAATTGCCAAATTCAATAGCCTTTTAACCGTTCTCATTGTTGATCATCTTCTCTTCTCTATTGGTTTTCAGAACAGTACTCTCTCCTGGTTCTTCTCCTATTGCTCCTTCTCAGTCTCCTTTGCTGGGTCTTCATCCAGATAACACCCCTCTAACCATAAGTGTCCCATAGGGCTCTGTCCTGGGTCCTCTTCTCTTTTTCCTCTATACTTCTTCACTTGCTGATCTCATCAGCTCCCATGGATTTCTTTACCATTTCTATGCTGATAATTCTCAAATCTACTGATTCTGCCCCAATCTCTCTGTTGACCTCCAGTCTCACATCTCCAACTGTCTTTCAGACATCTTGAACTAGATGTCCAGTAAACATCTTAAACTCAACATGTCCAAAACTGAACTCATTATCTTTCCCCCTAAACCTTCTTCTTCCTTCTCCCCCTTCTCCTCTTCTTCCTTCTCCTCCTCCTTCTCCTCCTCCCTTTCCTATAATTGTCAAGGGCAATACCATCCTCCCATTCCCTCAGGCTCACAAACTAGATGTTATCCTCAACTCCTCACTATCTTTCACCCCATCCCCATATCCAATCTTTTACCAAGACCTGTTGATTTCACCTATACAACATCTCTTGAATACACCCCCTTCTCTTTTCTGATACTGCCACCACCCTGATGCAAGCCCTCATCACCCATGCTTGGGACTACTGAAATAACCTGCTTGCTAGTGGGTCTGCCTTCCTCAAGTGACCCCACCTGCAATTCATCCTCCATTTACCTGCTAAAGTGATTTTCCTAAAGTACTGGTCCAACCATATCATTCCCCTACTGCCTAAAATTTGGTGGCTCCCTACTGCCTCTAGGAAAAAATTCAAAATCCCATATTTGGTATTCAAAGCCCTTTTTCACCTAGGTCCTCCACTCCTCCTCTTTCCAGGCTTCTTACACCTTACTCCCCACCACATACACTTCAATCCACTGACAATGGCTTCCTTGCTATTCCACAAACAATAAACTCCATCTCTCACCTCTGGGCATTTTCTCTGGCTGTCCCCCATGCCTGGAATGTTCTCTTTCCTCATCTCTGTGTCTCAATTTCCCAGTCTTCCTTCAAGTCTCATCTAAAATCCCATCTTCTGCAGGAAGTCTTTCTCAATCCCTCTTAATTTTAATGCCTTTCTCTTCTTAATTATTTCCTATTTATCCTATAAATAGCTTCTCTGTACTTATTTGTTTCCCTCATTAGACTGTGAGCTCCTTGAGGGCAAGGGACTGTCTTTTTCTCTTTTTGTATCCCCAAAACTTAGCACAATGTCTGCAGATAGCAAGTGTTTAATAAATGTTTACTGATTGATTAATAGACCCTACAATTACAAATATTTAGGAAACATGATATTTCATACCATAGGAAATTTTCATCCCTAAATGTTTAGAGAAGGCATCCACAAGGGACCCTGCTTTAGGGACCTTTTCATCTCCGAGTAAACCAAACCTGGGCAAAAACAAAGAAAGCTGCTTTAGTTCATTTCCTAAATTAGACCGTCTAGTAAGATTCCTCCAATAACAATATCAACAGATACTTAAATAGTTGAGAGGCAACATAATTTAGTGGACAGAACCAGTCTCGGAGTCAGTAATACCTGGGTTTAAGTTTCTGCTATGACATATAGTGGGATGCTAGATGGCACAGTGGATAAAGTGCCTAGTCTGGAGTCAGGAAAACCTGAGTTCCTATTTGACCTCAAACACTTACTAGCTATGTGACCCTGGACAAGTCACTTAACCCTGTTTGCCTCAGTTTCCTCATCTATAAAATGAGCTGAAGAAGGAAATGGCAAATCACTCCTGTATCTTTGCCAATAAAATCACAGATAAGGTCACAAAGAGTCAGATATGACTGAAAATGACTAAACAACAAATAAGACATAGTGATTGTGTGACCCTGGGCAAGTCACTTAACCTCTTAATGTTCCAGGGAATTCTCCGAGACCATAATTTTTAGTATGGTTTCCAATCTTCATTTGGTAGAGGGAATTCCCCCGCCAATGAAATCATAGGTTTGAATTGAAGAATTAGAATGCTTTAAGGTTTACAAAGTGATTTACATAAATTATTTCCTTTGATCTTTACAATGACCCTATGAAGAAGATGTTATTACCTCATTTTACCAATAAGGAAGCTGAAACAAAAAAAGTCAAGTTAAATTGATTTGCTGAGGATCACAAGCTAGTAAATGTCAGAAGTGGGATGCAATCCCATATTTTTCTGATTTCCAAGTGTATTGTTCTATCCACAGTGTCGCACCACCTCTCAATTCCACCCAAACTACAGAACGTCAGATTGGATTAGTTGATTTTTATGTTGAGTGGCAAAAGTCACAAGATGACACTGCTTTAAAAAACCCTTTGCCGGAATGGAGAAATCATTTTCTTTAAAACAGAATTTGCCCACTTGGTACCTCCTCGAATACGAGTAAGGAATGCTAACTGTGCGTTGCTTGGGGATTTGTAGAATCATAGGATTTAGGGCTAGAAGAAAACTTGGACATAATTGAATCCAATATCCACTTAAGGACATCTTAAGAATTTAGATGGCTCATGTTAAACATAGCTGCTAAGTTACGCTGTCCCAGATTTTTAACCAGGATGTATGCCAATAAACACTAAAGTGAGTCAATAGAGAGACGCTGGCACAGGGCCTTGAACATAATGTGCCACCGACAAATATTTAAGGAAATAAATCAAACTGAAAATGAATTCAGCTGGCATTGTTCAGGAACTACATCAGAAAGGGATTCTGATAACCCAAACAACATTATAATACATGAATTTCTCTTCTTTTCCTTTTCGCTCCAAATTTATCATGAGACGAAACCTAGTGGACCAAGGGAAACGTTCTAACATGGAACAGCAAATCCAAGGAGAAAATAAATGTCTCAAATTCTATGCTAACTTTTTTAAAAAATGGAACATGCTAAAGAATGCCAGTATCGGGAGAGAGCACAGAAAGCTGCCTACCATTCCACTGCCTCCAACTGTGTGTCATCCCCATCCAGTTTCTTGTAGATGGCTTCCTTCAGCACATCATGAGTGCAGGAAGGTGAAATCCCAACCAATTCACAGAGCAGTTCTTTCTGTTTACAAAAATAAGCATATAAATCCTAAGTTAATGTTTAAGTTTAGAAAAGTGCAATGAATAATTATTCCAAGCACTTCCTGTCATACTTCAAAAAGTCTAAGTATTTATATATGAAAAACATCCAATTCTTAAAATCTGTATAAAGTATAAAATGATTAGTGTTTCTTCTGTTTTTAAAAAGCAACTTACAAAGGAAAAACACCATGAACTATACTGTCAAGATGTATTTCAGCAACAAAGTAATGAACTATAACGTTAAAACCATATATTACAGAAGAATTTAATTACGGTATTACTGTATAATAACATATATTTACATAGCACTTTACCATTTATAAAGCATGTTACATATAATAAATATCTTATTTATTCTTCACCATACTTCTTTGAAGTAGGTAGGGTGGTTGTTATTATCTTCCTTTTCCAGATGATGAAGCACAGATCCTGAAAATTTAGGTGATTTACCCAAGGTCACATAGCTAAAAAGTGACAGCGTCAGAACTAGAACCCAGGTCTTCTGGCTCCAAAGCTACAGCTCTTTCATCTATATCATGCTTCCTCTCTCAAATATTTTCCTACTTCCACAAAATCCTTCCCAGACTACCTCCATTTTGAGCAGGGACAGTAGCTGCTATAGTAGCCAGCAGCAAAGGCCAGCCTTGCTGAAAAGGCCCAGTCTTGTTGAAAAGGTAGGAAATACATGAGCAAAACAAATTTTCTGCTCATGAAAGTAGTATTAATACGGGGACAAAAAAAGAAAAGGAAAGAATTATAATCTAAGGGATACCTTAAACTGTCTCTTAGACAACTTGGGGAATGACTGAAAAATTGGGTCATATGAATGTAATTATTATGTATTATTGTGCCATCAGAAATTATGATAGACAATTTCAGCGAATCTTTTGTAGAACTGACCTAGACTAAAGTGAGCAGAACCAGAAGAACAATTTATAAAAGGACAACAACATTGTAAAATAAAAATAACTTTGAAAGGCTTAAGAACTCCATGGTTAATATGGAAATGTGTTTTGCATGACTTCACATGTTTAATGGGTATTATATTGTTTGCCTTCTCAGTGGGTAGGAGAGGGCCTGGAGGGAGGGAAAGAATTTGGAATTGGAAAAAAATTAAAAGAATTTTTAAAAAAAGACAAGTTTGAATAATGCAATGACCAACCATTTCTCCAAAGGATCTATGATAAAACATGTTACCCCTCTCTAATCGTAAAGGTGATAAACTCAAGTTGCAGAAAGAGACATATTTTTGGACATAGTCACTCTATGAATTCATTTTACTTAGCATATAACATATTTGTTACAAAGTGGGATTCTTTTTGAACTTCTGTTCTCTTGGTTTTGAGTGAGGGAAAGGGGAATGGAAAAAGGAGAATTAGCAATAATCATGACCAAAAAAGGGGGGGGTACACAATAATACTTTTTTTTAAATGCTCAGAACAGAACAGAAAGAAATTCAGAAGGAAGCACAGAGAAGCAAGAGTTTTGAAAGCAATGAGTAGAATTTATGACATTCTTTTTTTAAATCTAGCAGTACAAAATGGAGGCTCATGGTTTCATTTAGAATTCTCCTTTATGTTCTGCACGTATAGAAATGTTCTTCCTTTGATGTTTAAGTTCAAAATTTTTTAAAACATTAATAAGAAAAAGTAATAATAACCCAGTTGATTAAATTTAGAATAAAGGTTACAAAACATTGTTTACAGTAAGCAAAACCAAGAAAACAATATACACAATGACTACAGACTACCCATGAAAAATTAAAAAAGAAAAAGTGAATGCTCAATATAGCTCAATATAATGACCAAAATTGGCCCAGCTGTGAAAATGCACCTCTCTCCCCTCTCAGCAGAGGTGGGAGAGTAAAGGTATTTTCATGTAGTGCATATGGACACAAACAATATATTAGTTCATTTTGCTGAATTACTTTTTCTTCCCCTCTTTAAAATCATTTTTTACATGTAATGACTTAGCTAACTTGTTCAGTAGAGAGAGAGATATTTGGAAATGAAGGTAATATCATGAAAAATTGTAAAAGATTAAAAAGAACAAATAATGTTCATAGCTCTTCAACCACTTACCAAGCTTAACAGCTCCTTTCCCCTCCCCCTGCCAGGGAAATTATCTTTTAGGCTGCAACTGCCTATGAACTGAAAGTTGCATATTTACCCCACAAAAACTTTCTCTCTCTCTCTCTTTCTCTCTCTCTCTCTCTCTCTCTCTCTCTCTCTCTCTCTCTCTCTCTCACACACACACACACACACACACACACAAGACAGCTATGGAAAAGTGAAGCGAGGAATTTGGTAAAAAGGCACCCAAAGTCCAATAGCTTGCTTTGAAATTAATCAGGCATTGAGTGAGTCACTTACCTTCTCTAGGACTCAGTTTCCTTACCTAGAAAATGATGGCCTAGATGATATCTTAATTTTTTCCCATTGTCACATTCTACAGTTACATAATAGCAAATAACAAAAACTACTGTTTATAATTCTTTCCTGTCTGATGTTTAAATTTTAAAGAATAAAATCCAGTGAGTAGGGAGAATTATTTTAAAAAGTGTATGTTAATCAAATCAAAGGCATTACTTTTTGAAAGAAAAGAAGGAAAAAGAAAACCTAGACATGAAAGGATTGCAAACACGACAAAAACTGAATCTCGGAGGAACTGGCTATGTCATTTGAGACTACAACTGGACTAGGTTATAAACATTCCACTTTGAGAGTTTAATAGGCCACAATAAGAGAAACAGTTATCTTGGGACATACTACTGTCCATTTTTCAGGAAGCATGTTTCCTCAAATGCTTTCTTGTGCTGTGTCCATGGGCTCAACCAATTTGATGGGAAAATGGGAAAGGGAGTCAAGGAGAAGGGAAATGCTTCCTAAATCCATGGTCTCACTTTAATCCCCAAAATATACATCATTTCTGCAGGCCAAGATTGTGAAACTGAACTACAATGTCATTGGCTTCATGATCAACCAATAACTATGTAAAGGATTTAGCTCTGCCAATATATCACTGAAGCTCCTAGAAAAGGTTCGCTTCCAGCTATATGAGGTTCCATGCATCTCATCCAGAAACACATAAGACCTGAGGGGTGGTTACCACAGGAACCATGTCAGGAGCAATGCGATACATTAGAATTTACAAACTAAGACTGACAAGCATCCTCCCATGATGTCGAAGGAGTTAGAAAGTCTGCTATCCACACTAAGTATTCAAGGCTAGTTGTGCATTTTTTTCTAAAATTTTTTGGAAGCATTGTCCTCTCCCAAACTGCAGTTTGACTTCACTGTCAACACAAAGGAAAGTGTGACCCACCAGTTGTAGGCTTGTTGTTGTTGTTGTTGTGTTTGTCCTTCGTTCTGGAAGAGGACCATGACATCAGGGAGATGAAGACACAGCTTAAAATTGACTTTGATATGAGTGAGGGAGGGCTGTGCAAGGTCACCAGCCTCACTTTCTCCTCCAGAGCCATCTGGGTCCAGTGGCTAGATGTTCATCAGGAAGACTGGAGATGGCCCAGGATGCCATGGGAGACCCTGGCCCTTTTAAGCTAAGGTTTTTTCAGGTTCTCACTTTGAGCGGAGGTAACGCTCATTCAGTGAATAGGCCTTTTCAAGAAGTGAGTCAAGGGATGGCCCCTTTAATAAAAAAAAAAAAATCAAACTGGGAGGGGAAGACCCTCAGGGTTGCTGGCCAAAAGAAAAACAGTTATTATTTACATTCACTCTGAGCAAGGAGGGCCCAAAAATTAATCATTAAGTGGTGCTTGGGCAGTGATCTATTGTTGTCCGATCTATGAGCCCCGGAGTAAATTGGGTTTACAGCGTGGTCTTTGAGAAAGAAATCTAGCCAGTAAACCTACATACAACTTGTCGGATACTTACCCAGGTGATAGGGGAGGCGTCAGGACTAAGGAGAGGGTGTACATCTCTATTTATTAGGCCCAGTTTTACAAATCCATTCAAAGCTTTGGCATATCCCTGAAAGAAAAGAGAGAGTGAGTCATGTATGATATGCTTCTCCTTTCAAAGAAAAGGAAAGCATTATTTAAAGAGATCGCCATCCTTCCCACTAAAGTTGGCAAATGTCAAAATCGACACTCCACCTCCTGAATGAATCTCAGTGTCCAGTCTCTAACCTCCTTGTACATGCGCGTCTCCCATCTCAAGAATGTACTCTCTCCCATTCCCAGTCTCTTAGAATGTTTATTTTCATCCATCAAAAAGAGCAAGCATCTCTTATGTGCTAGACATTGCCACAGGGGGGCCCTGGATAGACAAAGACAAAGCAAAAGTGTGGTCCCTGCCCTCAAGAAGCTTACTTTCTACTTGGGGCGGGAGTTGGGGGTGGGCAGAGATGCAGCATTTACATGGGTAGCTACAACATAATTGGAGGAGAGAGACAGAACTAACATACAGCAAAATCAGGAAAGGCTGCCCATATAGGGCAGCTGGGTAGTGGAAGGAACCACCATGCCTGGGGGTACCTTATTCCTCTGAGTGCTCCTCTGGTCAATCCAATGACCTTGTGGATGGAAAGGGCCACTACCACTGAGGGTGCCTTCCCCTCTCTTTCTTTCCCCCTTTTGCCTCAGCAGCTTTGAGATAGGATTCAACAACTCCATTCCTTCTGATGAAATGGAGACCACCAGACCTTTCCATCTGCCCTGCCTCTCTGCCCTGGTGTCCCCATGCAGTGTCATATGAACTAGCTAAGGACCCAGTCTGGGCCTTGCCACTCACATGCACCCTTAGGACCTCCAGCCTTTCCCATCTGCCGTGCAGCTGAACTTTCTTCTGTGTGTTGTCTCTACCAATTAGAATATAAGCTCCTTGAGGGCAGGGATTGTCTCAATTTTTCCCCATTTATTCATAGGTCAGGGAACATAAACTGAAACTCAGAAAGCTAGGAATTTTAAGTGGTAGTAAAGAGGGAGTAAATTCCAGGCATGTAGAAGAGTCTAGACAGAGATAGGAGATGTAATGCCAAGTTTGAGAAATAGCTATCAAGTCAGTTTGGTAGATATATAAAATGAATGAAAGGGGACGCTAGGCAGCACCCCAAGAGAGCACTGAGCTTGGAGTCAGGAAGACTTGAGTTCAAATGCAGCCTTGGACACTAGCTGTGTGACTCAGGGCAAGTCACCTACCTTCTGTTTTGATTTAGGTTCCTCAACTATAAAATGGGGATAATAACAGCATCTATCTCACCAGGTGGTTGTTATCTCAAGTGAGATAATATTTGGTGCATAGTATTTACTGTCTAAATGCTTGTTCCTTTCTTTCTTCCCCTTAAAATAAATCTGGAAATGCAGACTGGAGCATGATTGTGAAGCATTCCAAGCTCATGTGTCACCTCATCTGAGAAGTGTTCCCTGATTGCTTCTTTGCTTCCTGAAATTATCTTGTATTTGTGTTTGCTAGGAGTTCTTTTTATTTTTTATTTTTTGCTTTTAGGCAATTGGGGTTAAGTGACTTGCCCAGGGTCACACAGCTAGTGTTAAGTGTTTGGTCTGAGGCTGGATTTGAACTCAGGTCCTCCTGACTTCAGGTCCGGTGCTCTATCCACTGCACCACCTAGCTGCCCCTCGCTAGGAGTTCTTAACCAAAGATCTGTGAACTTTAAAAAATATATATTTTCTAACTGTATTTCAATGTAATTGGTTTCCATTGTAATTCTATGAATTTTATTTTATGCATTTAAAAACGTTATCCTTAGAAGGGGTCTGTAGGCTGATGGCCAAAGGGGGTCCATGAAAGAGAAAAGGGTTTAGAACCCCAGGTGTGCACCTTGCCTCCCTTCCCCTCCACCCCGTGAAAGATTAAGTGCTCTGAGATCTTGGCTATTTAATGTTTATCTTGCTAACACTGTTCCTTGTATTGTTTGTTTATAGTAGGTGATTAACAGAATGTCTTCCAAATTGAACCGGTTTGAAAATAGTCACTTTTGTTACCTCATAGCTGGCATTTATGAAGCCAGATCCTAACCCAGCCACAGAAAGAAAGACCGTGTTCTTGTATTACAGATAAAATGCTGATTTTTGTAATCAAGGAGGCTGTCCTTGTTTTTTTGTCTCTGAGCGTGGGGAGGGAAGGTGCGGGGGAAGGGAAGGAGAGGTAGGGATGGACCATTTGCACAGAAGTGAAATTATCCAGTCTGTGCTACACACTGAAATATGGATAGTAGGGGTAAGAAAACTGTAGCCTGGTATTAATATGTTTGGGAAATGAAATAAAAGACACTCACGGGATAAAAGATAGAAGTAAAGCATATAACCTACTCCTGACAGAGAGGTGAGGCGCACAAATCAAAGAAAGAGACATGCATTTTTGGAGGCGGTCACCACAGGGATGCCCTTTTACAAGGGCTTTTTTTTCTCCTTTTTTTTTTCCATTAGAGGAAGTAGAAGGGAAAGAAAATAAATATTTATTAACTAAAAAAAAAATAGAAAAAATAAAAGACATCCTCAAGGACATTGTGACCAAAAAAGGAAGTGGGTTAGTCAGCAAATGAAAGTAGGGGTAGCAAATGGATACCTAAGTGTTGCAGTCTTATCCATTAAATATTAAAATGCAATGCAATGAAATTCACAAACATTTATTAATCTCTGAACATGTGCAAAGCACCATGCTTGTTGTTGGGAATACAGAATTAAAAACTAAACAGACTCGGCCTTCAAGGGATTTACATTTCTACTAGAATCAAAGAAAGGCCTCTAGCACACTCTGTGGATATTCTATGGAGGATTAGTAGAAAGACAGGGACAGGAATTGCAAAGGGATGAGGAAATGTCCAAGAGATGCAGCCAGTACTTATGGTTTGTGTGTTTATCACAAGAAGATCAAAAATTCAAGGTATATTGAGGGACAAGTTGCTTGCTGTCTCTTCAGAAAAGTACTGTTCATTGGGACAGCCAACTTTGCTTTATCTACAAATGGTGAGAAGCATCAGCCAAAAACCCCCAAATCAGTGGGCTATATAACACCAAGAATGCTGGCAGTCCATTTTTCCCCAAGTAAAAAGTGTTTATGTTGCAATAACCCTTAAGAAGGGTTTGTTTTTGTTCAGTCATGTGTGAATCTTTGTGACCCCATTTGAGTGCTTATAGCAAAGATGCTAGAGTGGTTGGCAATTTCCTTTTCCAGTTCATTTTACAGATGAGGAACGTGAGGGAAACATTGTTAAGTGACTTGTCCAGGGTCACACAGTTAGTGCCTGAGACCAGATTTGAACTCACAAAAAAAGGTCTTCCTGACTTCAGGCCCAGCATCTATCCATTGCACCACCTAGCTGGCCTTTTAAATGGATTATTGCAACCAAACTTTGGAATTCTCCTATCAAAGAGAAAAGGGACAACTAGGTGGTACAGTGGATACAGTGCTGGGCCTGGAGTCTGAAAAGACTTATCTTAAGGAACTCCTACATAAGGAAACTCCTTCTGCCAAAGTAGATTGGCACCTTCCCTATGTCTTATTTTTTTAGAGTGGCTTAGAGAACTAAGAAGTTAAGACTTGGCCAAGGTCACATCCAGTATATACCCAAAGAAGGACTTGAACCCAGGACTTCCTGCCTTCCAGGCTGGCTCTCAACTCACTACATCATGTGTAGATAAAATATATGAATTCATCACTAGCAGCAAAATGTATATAGTCTGCAACAGGTAGCCATCTTTAACAACTAAAACAGCATGCTTACCTTATATCGCAGAGTCCCTCGCAACAAAGTATGAGCAGACTGGATATCATATGTCTCAGCATATTTGATACTATCTCTATTGGGGTAGCCTTCCAAATTTAATCCTGGGAAGTAATCCATGGCGGTAACATAATCAAGAAAAGATGGCCCCCCAGTTTCAATCACCTGATGAAAATTGAAAAAAGATAAATCAGTACCAAAAACACCATTCACAAATCCACCAAATTTCACAAGCTATGCTAATGTCACATTCTTCATTAATAAAAACATATTATTTGTAACAGGTTTTAAGTTTTACAAAGCACTTTCCTCACAACAACCCTGAGATCTAGATATTGCAATAATGGTCTCCATTTTACAAATGAAGAAAGAAAGGCTTAGAAATGTTAAAAGATTTGCCAAAGGTCATACAACTAACAAGTGTCTGAACTAGAATTTGAACTCAGGACTCTCTTGGCTCCAATTAAGGGCTTTTTCCATTATAACACACTACTTCTCTTACCAGGGTGCTGCCATCACCTCTCCTTTTTCCCAGGCACATAGCTGGCAGTCATTCTAAAACCCACTGGACAGTTGGGCTTTGCAACTAAATTAAGATAGGACCATAAATTGAGGACTCAAAGGGACATTAAGCGCTCATAGAGTCCAATGTCCTCACTTTCCAGATGAGGAAATAAAGTCCAGATAACATGCCCCAAACCACTGAGATAGTAAATGGCAGAAATGGAATAAGGACTCCAGTCTTTTATTTCCAAATCCAGTCCTCTTTCCACTGAAATTAATTGTGACATTAATTTTAAACAATAACTAAAGCAATTGATTTGTAACTAATTTCCAAAGTAATTGATTGTGAACATTTTTCAACCACAAAACCAATTAATCTTTTAAATAAAATTAATTAAATTATAGGCAGACAATGTACAGAGTTTGTCAGTCACTCCCTCTGGGATCCTTTCCATCATCTTTGTTTATTCAGCCACCTATGTATGTCTATACTATTGTCTTCTTGTATAATCATAGTCAATGTGTATGTCGAACTTCTAATTCTGCTTTCTTCGCTTCATATTATTTCATATGTCTTTCCATTAGGTTATAAACTCCTTCAGGATATGGATTGTTAATTTTTTTTTAATCATTATAACCTAGTATTTACCATAGTACCTTAGAACATTACATGTTTAATTAACTTGTTGATTTTTTTATATATCTCACATTTGTCCTTCTTAACTACATTCTAGTAGTTCATGAAACTGACATGATCACCAAGCATTCAGTCACTCCCCAATTGTCAGACATTTAAATTGTCCCCTACATTTTCAAAATGCCAGAATCAATCATCAGCCCTGCCAAATATTTAATGAAAACCTACTACGTGCAAGGCAGTTTCATATGCATGAGTATCTTCTCCACTCCCAACAAAACTGTAAAATCCTGGAAAATGGAAACAAAGTCATTCACTTCTATATCCTCCACTCTCTCACCCCCAGTGCAGAACACAAGGTAGGCACTCTATGCTTCAGAGATACTGTCCCTTGGATGGAACATCCATCTCTGCTGACTAGGCCTTTTCACTGGTTGTCTCCCATGCCTGGAATGTTTTCTCTCCTCTCTGCCTCTTGGCTTCTGTGCCTTCCTTTGTCTTAGTTCAAATCCTACCTTCTACAAGTCACCTTTTCCATTCCCCCCTCAATTAGTGTCTTTGCTCTGAGATTGCATCCGTTGACCCTTAGCATATGTTACAAATACAAAGTTGTTTGAAGGTCGCCTTCCCCATCAGGGTATAGGCTGCTGTTGCCTTTATATTCCCAGTGCTTAGTACAGCGCCCTACTACGTAATAAGTACTTAACAAATGGCTTGATCCAAGTTAACTAAATTGGTTAGTTTAATTTATATGAATACAAGCCCAATAACAAGTATATAGCCAAAGCTCAGAGAGGATCATAACCAAATACTTGTTGGCCACTAGGTGATGACATGTTTTGTTTTGTTTTGTTTTGTTTTTTTCCAGCCAGAGCAACTCAAGAAGACTTTCTACCAAGGTTCAGTGGGATCTTCAACTAAAATGGTGGATTAGTGCAGGGAATATCTATAAGGACTCAACCATGGATCCTTTAAGTATTCAAATGCAAATGTTCTTTAAGGTTTAAGAGATAAAAAGGGAGGAGGGTAGTACAGGAAGTAAAACAGGGTGACATAATTTAATCCTTACTTCCTCTGAATGCACCTCACTCTCTGCACAGGTGGATGTTGCACCCAGGTTGCTATACTAATCCTTTGAATATTCCTCAGTATTCATGACTAAGGATCCTCCCTAACTGCCTTAATATACGGAATAACAAAACCTCCATTGAAAAATCTGGGGGTCGAAACCAACAGGTAGGCTAATACAACTTAATCAATTGATATCTTGACTTCTGTAACAGTATTGATTCACCTCTCCATTGAGCAGATATTTGGCAGGTTGCAATATGTTCATTAAGACACCAACTGGGCTCCAGCTGAATTTGTATCTCAAAGGATTGTCCGAATGCTCTGGGGCTGGCAGGCCACCACAAAAGGAGACATATGATTCAATCTGTAAGTGAATTTGCATAAGTCATATTATCAGCAGGTTAAGGAAAACAATTCTAATTACAACAAAATGAAATGAACTATTGAGCTTGCTTCTTATGCTCCCTTGTGCAATCAGAAATACCTACCGTGGGTGAATTCGATTTGACTTGTCACTGTCATGGATAAAAGAAGGGCATTTTATAAGGGCAGATAGGACTTGAGGGCAGAGAATAATTATTTTGACAATCAAGTTCCTACTGAATTTTGAATCTAACGTATAAAATTCTACAATGCATCTCATCTTTACGAATACATCATAATCTTGAGAACTGATTAGTGATCTTTAAATACAGCAATTGCCTGACAGCTGTGATCAGGAGTAATATAATTAGTACATGCCCAGAAGAAACAGGAAGGCACTTGACAGACCAAGAGATTAGTGACATTCAACAATATTCATTTTTTTCTTGTGTAGATCAAACATTGGCCCACTTCTCTCAAAACACATGTCAGAATTATTTCATTGCACTGAAATATTGTTGGAATGTATATTTCTTTATAAATGGCTCATTGCCTGGGATTTGGTCATCTTGGAATCCTAGGAGAATAGGCTCCAAGATGGAAGGGAATTTAGAAGCTAATCTACCCATTTTATAGGTAAAGAAACTAACCAGAAAAGTCACACAAGGCATAAGTTGCAGTGCCAGGATTTGAACACGGGTCCTTTGTTTCAAATGCAGCATTCTTTCCACTGTACCATTTCTCTCACTTTTTTTTTGAAGACAATTGGGGGTCAGTGACTTGCCCAGGGTCACACAGCTAATATGTGTCAAGTGTCTGGTCTGAAGCTGGATTTGAATTCAGGTCTTCTGACTCCTGGGCTGGTAAGCTATCCACTACACCACCCTTCACCTTATGTTTTAATAGAAATTTTTGCTTTTGTGGGATTTAATTGACTATGTCTAATCAAAGCCTGTGTGGTTCCTTTTTCGTCACTCTTGTGAATTTTGATCTATTTCAGCACTGGTGCTATCAGGAACAGAATCACTTTAATAATCACACATTCCAGCATGAATCTAGTTCTCCAATTTGTAAATCTAATTCTGTGAATTTTCCCATAATTGGGGAAATATAGCTGTACTACAGGAGAGTTAGATGGAGATTTTGCCCCGCTATAGCTTCAGAGGACAGCTAGATGGCTCAGTGGATAGAGCACTGGACTTGCAGTCAGGAAGCCTTGAGTTCAAATGTGGCCTCACACGCTTTACTAGATGTGTGACCTTGAATAAGTCATTCAATCCCTGTTTGCCTAGGAGGCAGCTGGGTGGCTCAGTGGATAGAGTGATGGGCCTGGAGTCAGGAAGACCTGAATTCTTATCTGGCCTCAGACACTTACTAGCTGTGTGACCCTGGGAAAATCACTTAACTTCTGTTTGTCTTAATCCACTAGAGAAAAAAAAGGAAAACCACTCTAGTATCTTTGCCAAGAAAACTCCATGGACAATATGTCCATGAGGTCACGGAGAGTCAGACATGACTGAACAATAACAACAAAGCTTCAGAAGCCTAATTATTATGATAAAAATGGCGGATATGGAGAACTGAGTTAACATTTAAATTTACCTGTTACAGAGAGGTACAGGCATTAACTTACAGAGGTTAAGGAAGCCAGTTTTGAAGTAGGCCAGGTTGTATGAAGGGCGAAAATCAGAAGACCTGAGTTTGAGTTCTGACTGACACTTAGCAGCAATGTGCCAATCATTTTCTGATTTTCATCCTTATTTCCTCATCTGGAAAATGGCAATAATACACTACTAATATTGTAGAGTTAACTGAAAAGAAAGTGCTTCCAAAACTTAAAGCGACATATAAAAGTGATGTTATTTTTAGAGTCTAACAATAGACTACAAAAATTAGTCTAAATTATTCACCGTAATGAAAGTGATGAGAAGAAGTCATTCACACCACCTTCAGGACTCTAGGAATTATCAGCCGACCGTCCTATCTGGAGACTGTTAGGGAAAGAAGTGTTCTTATGGATCATCTAGTCCACTGCCCTAATTTCATAGATAAAATGAGGCCCAGAAAGGTCGAAGAGTGACTTGACCAAGGTCCACCTAAAGCTAGACAAGCAGAACAAGGACAAGTGTCCAGGTCTTATGAGTCTTAATTCAGCACTCTATCTACTGTACTCCTGTGGCTCCTAAAAAGACATCCCATTCACCTTCTCTCCATTCACTGCACTGCCATAAGTTTCTTCTTTTTTGTTCCCATCTATCTTCACTTCAAATCTTTTGAAACTAAATGAAATCAATCACGGAGATTTCTTCCTACATATGTCAATATATTTGTCATCTTCATCTGTATTCTACAAATATGCAAGTGTTCAGTTGTCTACTAATTCCAAAACTGGGGATAGCACCAGTTCAATTCCAATTAGACATCCCTACCCCAGGCCTACTTTGCATGAAAATCTAGCTCATAAAATCTATCCAACATTATACTGTCATATAAAAGCATATCATCATCATGGGGTATTTCTTTCATGGAAGAAACCAGATCAGTTAAGATTTTCCTAGATAAATCTTGGAGATATAAAGTGGTCTTACCGTGGCTCCTACTTCTTTAGCTTTATCAATTGTTTCCATGGCCAACATGTGGTCAAGGCCAGGATCCAATCCCAACTCTCCAATTATTGTGATGCCAGCATCATCCACACTAAAAGAATTGGCAAAGTGGTAAATAAAAAATATGTTCATAAAATGAAAATGTTTCAGTGGGGCCACAGACTGCCTATTTTGGTGAATACTTAGGAGACTTACCTTTTCTCCAGCTCCTTGAGGGCTGGTGTGATGTAGCTAGCAGTGACCATATTCACCTTGCTGGCAATACATGCTTTGGCCACAATAGGATGTAATACATACGGTAGCAAGCTTCAAGTGGAAAGAGGAGGGGAAAACAGCTGATTATGACATTGCAACAGTTTTCTTGATTAGAAACTAACACTCTATCTCCTGACTATAGACATACCTTGTTTATGTAACAGATTCATGAAATGCAATGAATAAAAAAGATTTTACCAAATATTCATGTTTTAAGCATACCAGAAGGTACAGGCTATAAAAAAATCTTTTTGAATTAAGAAAAATCACCCTCCCATTCTATCAAAAACTTAGTTTTCTAAGTTCAATTTTCTATATGTGATTTTCATCAAATACAGACACCTCAGTACTTGCTTCAAAGATGTGATTCTAATGTTGTCACTGTGCCCCAAAGCAAAGATTTTATTTGCTCTCAGGCAAGGACCACAGGCCAGCATACGATTTCTCCCTCCTTTAGTACTCAATAATTGAAACATTTATTAAATTCCTGCTATGAGCAAGGTACCAAACTAACTTCTGGGAATACAAAGCAAAAGCAAAAGCAAAACTGTTCTTGGAGATAGTGGGGGGATGTGATACGTACAAAGACCAGTAAATGCCAAGTAATCTAGCTGTTAGGCAGCTAGGTGATATGGTAAATAGAGTGCTCAGGAAGACCTGAGTGCAAATCCTGCCTCAGATACTTATTCAAATGGCAAGTTATTCAACCTCTCTTAGCCTCAGTTTACTCATCTGTAAAGTGAGGATAACAGCCCCTACCTCATAGGCCTGTTGTTAGGATTGAACAATGTAATATCTGTAAAGCACATTGCAAGCCTTGAAGCACTATGTATAAATACTAGCTATTATTATTGATTTCCAAGGGAGAGAGTGCTGTTAACTGGTGGGGATCGGGAAAGGTTTCATGTAGGAGGTGAAACCTGAGCTGCTCGCTTTGAAGGAAGGCATCAACTTCTAAGAAACAAAGGCAAGAAAGAGTGCTGAGCCAGTTGTGAAGAGCAATGAAAGAAGGTGCTATAGTTTGACAGAAATGGAGAGGGTATGGAAAAGAACAATATAAGAGACTAGAAATATAGGTGGAACTTATATATTGCAGGGGTTTAACTGCCAGAATGAGGATTTTTGTATTTTAATCTAGAATTATTATACATAACCTAGAGTACTGAATCATGCTTTGAATACGCAAGGTGAGGCAATAGGGAGAGTGAAAATTGAGTATCAGTGTGGCAGCTGTGTAGAGGAAGGACACTCAACATCCTCAAATAGTCTCAGCCAATTAGCAGACAGGGGAATGAGGTAGTGAAGTGGATAGAGTACCAGGCCTGGAGTTAAGAAGACCCACCCTACTGAGTTCAAATCTGGCCTCAGACACTCTTTAGCTGGGTGAAACTGGGCAAGTCATTTAACTTTGTTTGCCTCAGTTTCCTCAGCTGTAAAATGGGCTGGGGGGAAAAATGACAAATTGCTCTAGTATCTTTGCCAAGAAAACTCCAAGTGGAGTGAGGAAGAGTCAGATATGTCTGAAAATGACTAAACAACAACCACATTGGCAGACAGCTATTCACATTGCTCCATTCTACTCAAAGTCTTATTTCTAAGCCAAGATCTGAGAACAACTAGCCTTTTGCAGTTCTTACCATTTAGAAGGGATGCACATAAAAGCAGCATGATATATTGGAGAGAATACTAGGTGGGGACTCAAAAAGCCAGGTTCTCAACTTGGCTATGTGAATCTGAACAAATCATTTAAGCTTTCTGGGACCTCAGTTACCTAGGTTGTAAAATAAATGGGGGTGGATTCGATTATTGCTAAAATCTGATATGCTTTCTCTTCTTACCTCTGCCTCTTAGAATCTCTGGCTCCTTCAAGATTCAGCTCAAACACCGCTTTCTACAGGAAGCCTTCCCCTATCCCTTGAGTGGCTAGTGCCTTCTCTAAAGTGATGTTCTTTCGACTTTATATGTGTCTTGTGTATCCCTATTTATGTACATGTTGTTTCCCTCTTTAGAATGTAAGCTCCTTGAGGACAGGGTCTTTCTCTTGCTATTCCATCAGATCCCCCAAATTAAATACAATGCTAGACATACAGTGAGCATTTTAAATGCTTGTTGATTGGCTAATGTCCTTTTCAGTTTCTCATTCTATAATTTTGAGCATAAACAGACTATTAAGTAATTAACAGAAACATAGAAATAATTATTTACAATTTATAGTATTACAAAAACCCTTATAATACCCTGAGGGTTTGAGATTCTCAAATCCATCTCCACTGTATTTCCATCCAACTTCTCTGAGCAGAAAGGGAAATGCAGCTATTAAGATGTACAGAGGTTCTTTCTTTGTGTATACTAACCTGATCACAAGGTCCTGTTTCTTCACTATGTTGGCCAGTCTCTCCCCTTGCTTGCCAACGTCCAAAACAATGGGGTTAATGTTGTATTTCTTGGCCCAATGCTCAAGCTGATTCTTCATATCTGAGCCTATTTGAGGAACAAAACATTTCAAGATATTTCTTTTGGTTAGTTTTTCTTCCCCTCCTACAAAGTCCAAAAATAAAGTTCATTGTAACTTCTCAAAATATATATATATTTTTAAAGTCCTAGGAATTCACACACACACACACACACACACACACACACACACACACACACACTAATCGCCAAAAGGGAAAGGGAAGGTTTATTTACCCACTGTCATTTCAATGCTGCCATCTCTACAAAGGTATTCTACTAGTGGCTCAGACACATAGCCACTTCCAAGTAGCAAAACTTTCTTCCTCTTATCCATTGAAAGCAACTCTGCATGCGCCCTGAAAATGGAATGAAAACAGTAAACCCAGAAGAGAAGAACACTTTCAGCTTAGCAGTGTAGTGAATAAAACCCCCAAGATTCAGTTCCAGGTAATTAATAATCAATGTAGTAATTAGGCTAGTTCATAATCAATAAATTAATAGTCTGTAGTTTCTCTTATTAACCAAAGACCCCAAGGAAGAAATGCCTTAAATCAGATGTATACCTTCTGACAGAGAACTCCCCTACCAAGTGAAACTCAACCCTCCTTGGTGGACATTTAATGAGGGCAGGCTAAAAGTCACATGATGTGTCTACAGGCAGGTGTTTGCATGCATGTTTGGGTATACATTATTCATATATACACAAAAGTATATATTGCATGCATGTACTTGCATCTATACATGTCTATATCTAGACATATATGTATGTGTGTGCACACACATGTATACCATGCACCCATTTGAGTGTATGTGCATGTGCATGTATTAGCCCTTGCTTTCAGAAAGAAGTGGCATGAATGTATGAAAGTCAAGTTTCCAGAAGAGAGAAGTAATGTTTCTATTTTCCTCTAAACAAACATCTAAGGCTCAAAAAAGGACTAAGTGCCATTGAAAAACCATAGAAAAAAGACAGAAAAGTATCCAGTTTCTTGGCCTATTAACACTTAAGACTGCAAAATATTAAGGGAGAACCAAAAAAAAAAAAAAAGGAAAAGGAAAAGAAAAGAAAAAATGCCCATTGCTGTTCAAGGAACACCACATCTCTTTAAATCTAAACGAATATAATAGCCAAAAATCATGGAATGGCATAATTTACAAAGACTCAAACTCTCAGATGACCCAAAAGTCAATGGAGAGCTGTCCATAGAGGGGAGAAGGACACTGAATGTTCTCAAAGATGACCTGTCCATGAGAAGCAGCACAAAAAGCAAGAACATATAAGACTTGAAAAGGTATCAGGCCAGAAACAACAGAGCTAGGGACAACCCAAGAGTTTCCCTCATGCTCTTAGATGGTGCAGTGGATAAAGTACTAAAGTCTAAGTCTAGGACTTAGAGTTCAAATCCTGCCATAGACGCATAGTAGGTTTGTGACCCTGGGCAAGTCACTTAACCCTGTCTGTCTCAGTTTCCTCAAATGGGACAATAATATTTTTCTCAAATGAGATAATCATATCATCTCCCTCCCATGGTTGTTGTTAGGATTAAATGAGATATTTGTAAAATGCTTAGTACTTTAGCATAGGGCTTCTTAAACTTTTTCTACTTGCAACTCCTTTTTGCATTTCAGCAGTGTTCTTTGGCCTTGAGTGGTGTGATGGCATGTGCAGTGCAAAGTGCACATGTTTTGTGCTCAGAACCAAGGCTGCAGTGAAGTTGTATGATGAAAAATGGGCAAGCGCTGCCAGAAACACTTTGGATTCATTATGCATTTGATTTTTAATTAATTTTTTGTCATTGCATGTTTGGAAACCTTTTACTATAACCAAATGGGGTTGTGACCCATAGTTTAAGAAGTGTTGCCTGAGTTTAGCAGACATTGCTTAGCATAGTGCCTGGAACATAGTGCCTGGCTTAATAAATGCTTGCTCCCTTCCCCCTTCATACCCTGTATGTATAAAGAGTCATCAGAAGACCTCCAGTACATTGTACAAATTCTCTCTAGAGGATTTGTGGACAAGGAAGAATGAATATTTCCATGGAAGAGGAAATCTATGTCTGCAGTAAGATATAGAACTTTATAATAGGTTTTGTCTGGTTAGAATTTGCATATTAAGAGAACACTTTCTCTTAGAAAGGATTGTACATCCCTGGTATCTGACTTCAGAATAGTAGATGCCTGAATTCCCAATGACAGTGAATCCCCACATAGTAGTAGGAAAGACATAGGCAGAGGTAGGATACTGTGGACATAGGAAAAGAGGATGCTCATGCATGGTAAAAGAGCAGAAGAACTGGGTATCACAAACTGGGATAAAGAGTGAATGCTACTGTGTGACCCTGGCAAGTCACTTGATCCCGATTGCCTCACCAAAAAACAGCAAAAAAAAAAAAAGTGAATGCTACCACACAAAAATACTTTTACCTAATACTTCTGCCCTTATGAACAGCTATTTTTTTTTGTGAGGCAATTGGGGTTAAGTGACTTGCCCAGAGTCACACAGCTAGTGAGTGTTATGTGTCTGAGGCTGGATTTGAACTTAGGTACTCCTGACTTCAGAGCCAGTGCTCTATCCACTGTGCCACCTAGCTGCCCCATGAACAGCTATTTTTAAGAGTAAAGTACAGCAGGAAAAAAAAAAAAAGAAAGACACATTAATGCCTCCAAAGGCAATAATATAGAAATTGAATAAAAGTAGTGTGAACCCCATTTTTCAGAAGCTTATTCCCATGAAAAATACAGACAGAAGAAATGAACAATTAAAGGTGAGTAGAGCCTATGAATACAAAAATAAAATATAAAGTAGCATAGAAGGGAAGAGAAATTATGAAAAGAAGAAAGAAAAGGAAATATTCTTGGAGGAAAAAAAGCAGAGGAAAAGAAAGGCACAAAATAAAAGGTTAGAGGAAAGGAAGAGAGGGAAGATTCTGAAATACTAGCTTAACTGGGTAGGGAAAGGAAATGGACCAAAGAAGGGGAGAAACAGACAAAAAAGAAATAAAAATTATCAAATTCAAAGGACTTGAGATAGAGTAGGCCAATAGGAATGAGGGAGTTTGAGAGAATAAAGCAGCAAAAGAAAACCCAAATAATAAATATAAAGCCATTCAAACGGACAAAGTACTGGCATTAAAAAGGAATTGAATAAAAATTGGTGCAAAAGAGATACAAAGGAGTCAAGGCAGTAACATTTAGCAACTCTGCTGCAGCATTCCCTAAACCTCTTCCATGATGATCTAGAAAACACACCAAACCAAATGAGTGGGAAAACTGAGGAAAAAAAACACAGTGAGTCATTTTTCCATTTGAGGTAAGTTAAGGAAGATAAGCAGAGGTCTATGAACCCTGGGATGGGAGCTGGTCAGGAGCACAGAACAACAGAAACCAGAAGCCCCCAGTAGCCATGGTGAGTTCCAACCAGGGAACTCCCCAGGGACTGACTGCCTGGGCAGAAAGAGATCCTGTGGTTCTCTGGAGTAGCACTGGAATGGATGTCATCTGGCAGCTCTGTGGCACATTATCCAGTTCCAGGATACAGTTTTAGGGTAGAGAGAAGCACTCACAGTTACAAGGGGGCAGAGGGCCTTCCTGTTTAAGGTACCTGTAGACGAGGAGGGCAGTAAGCAGACCTCTCACCATATCATGTCAGAAGCACTAAAAATGTACAGGCCCTCCAGATAGCTGTGAAAGCAGCAGAAGGACATAAAAGACAGAAGCTCACACTAGTCATCCCCACTGCCTTGAAGTGAGCAGAACACAACTTTAACATAAAGTCCATAGTTAATAAATAGGCTGGAAAAATGAGCAAACAACAAAAATAGAACCTGACCATGAAAAATTATGATGACAGGGAAGCTCTAGACACAAACTCAGAAGAAGACAATGATTTAAAAACCTCTACAAGCAAAGCCTCAAAGAAAAATGCAGATTGGATAAAAGCTCAACAAGAATTCCTAAAAGAGCTAAAGAAAGCAATAAAAAAAAAATTTTAATGAAAAATCAAATAAAAGTAGTAGAGAAAAAGACCAAGAAAAGAAATGAGAGTTCTGCAAGAAAATTACAGGAAGAGAAGTAACAGCTTGGTAAAGGAGGACAAAAAATACTAAAAAAAAAAAAATCCATAGAAATCAGAATTGGCCAAATGAAAGCTAATGACTCCATGAGACATCAAGAAATAATAGAACAAAGTAAAAAAAACACTAAAAAATAGAAGAAAATATGAAATATCTAAGGAAAAATGACTGACCTAGAAAACAGATCAAAGAGAGATAACTTAAGAATCTTTGGATTACCTGAAAGACATGAACAATTTACACATCATATTTAAAGAAATTATAAAGAGAAAAATTTTCAGATATCTTAGAACCTAAGAGGGAAAGTAGAAATTGAAAGGATCCAGCAGTCACCTCCTGAAAGAAATTCCAAAACGAAAACTCTCAGGGATATTATAACCACAGTCCAGAGTTCCCGCATCAAACAGAAAATACTTCCAGCAACGGGAAAGAAGCAATTCAAATACTGTAAAGCTAAGGTCAGGATCACACAAGTTTTAGCAGCTACCACTAAAAAGAAGCTGAAGACTTAGACTATGATATTCCAGAAACCAAAGGAGCTAGGATGACAATCAAAAATAACCCACCTAACAAAATTAAGTATAATCCTACAGGGGGGAAATGGATATTTATTAAAATAAAGAACTTTCAAGCATTCTTGATGGAAAAAAAACTGAATAGAAAATTTGACCTTCAAACACAAGACTCAAAAGATGAGCATAAAAAGGCGAACAACGAGTAAGAAATCATAAAGGACTAAACAAGGTTAACCTGTTTATATTTCTGTATGGGAAGATGATACATCTAACTCCTAAGAACTTCATCATTATTAGAGCCGCAAAAAGGAGTTTACACAAACAGGGGTCATGGAAGTGAGTCAATTGTGTTGGAATGATCTCCCCCAAAAATGAAGCATATCTAATGGTAAAGCAAACAAGAAAGAGGAAGATGAATAGAATTTTAGAAAAGTTGGATATAATGCACCTCTAGAGAATATTGAATGGAAATAGAAAGAATTATGCCTATTTTTCAAATGTACTTAGTGCTTTCACAAAAACTAGACTATAAATTAGGATATAAAAATATCACAAACAAATGAAGAAAAGCAGGAATATTAAATGCATGTTTTTTTTTCTGACCATAATGTTATAAAAATCACATTCAAAAAAGTATTAATTAGAAAGTAAATAACTTAATCCTAAACAATGAGTGGTCAATGGACAAATCATAGAAACAATAAATTTATTAAAGGCAATGACAAGAATGAGACAACAAACAAAAAATTGTGGGATTCAGTCAAAGTA